AGTTGGATCATATTTGTGTGCAATGTAGAAGGATACCGCGCACGCTGAATGTTTTTGCACCTTTGTTGTTGCCGAAGTAGCCGGATTATTTAAGCAGATCTCATAGTTTTCAAGGACCGCCTCTATGTCTGCATATATAACTACTGGAGGTGATAGCTTCTTATGATATCCATTGAAAGAAGTGGTCGTATTAGGTTCAGGATAGTACGAAGCCACTTTTCCACATTCAAGCTTATTGTGGGTAGTGTTCGTTGTTGTATAAAACTGTAGACAGTTATCACAGAAATATTTTCCTGCGTGCGATTTTGAATGCTGCGAGCCGCATAATCTTTTGATGCACGTAATATAGGCATAGTGCATATTTTGACGGTTATTAATGCCTAATATATTAACGTGGTTTGGTAGAATCTCTTGAGTTTTAACTGTAGGTCCCACAATTTTTTTTACCGTCATTATCAATTTCATACACATTGATGCTAAAATCTTTATTTTTTTTTCTCGAACTGATTTATTCCTTTTTTTGGTAATTGGGAACTCAATTCCTGAAAAATCCAGTCTCATTCCTTCATAATCAATGACTTCTGCATTGATATTTATGTGGTAGTTTGCCGGTTTCGTTAATTTCTCCCGTGAATATTTCTTTTGTTGTGGTGTTGCAAAAGTAGCATTCTGAAATCGCTTGTTAGCTAGAAATGCTAAAATTGCCCACTTAAAACAAAATACGTCTGTGTTTTGAATATTTATTATCGCATTTCGCGATCTTATGGCATTCGGAGCTGGTATGAAACCGCTTGCAGGAATGTTTTCTAGTTTAACTATAGTGGCTTCAAAATAATCAAAGTTCTTGATAGCCCAACCAGAATCCTTTTCCTGGAATTCACTGCTCGATGTTATTAGGGATTCTATTGCGGCATTTAATTCTATAGTAATATTTTCAACTTGATATACCGATCTATATGCCGTTCCAAAGTGTTTCCTGGTTTCAACGGTTTCTCCGTCATCTATTTGTTTCATATAAGTCCCGTACACTCTTAACGAGAATTTGATTGCTCTATATTCTGACATGCAATCCTCAATTATTTTAAGTAGATTTGATTGACAAAATTGATAAAAATCATTTAAGTCAATTACATTTTCGTTGGGACATTTAATTCTATATGTTTTTACAGGAAACTTGGAGTTACTCACAATTTGTGAAATATTTTTATAATTTACATCTTCTCGAACCGAAGCATTCTTATGGTAATCGGTTAGCATATGCTGACGTTCCCTCGACTCAAGATACTGGATACCACAAGTATGACATAAAATTTCTCTTTTTTGCTCTTCTGTATTTCCCGAAATCTTAAGCTTTTTTGTAGGACTATTTGGTTCCTTACCCTCATCCATTCTTATCCGCTTGAGGGCATTTGCTGATGTTGAGGGAATATCGTCTCGAACAATATCTGGTTCCTGTTGTTTTCCTTTATTATCCTTCTTCTTCATTAAAATGCTGAATGCATTTTGCGGTCCTTCACAATTCTTATAGTGCTCGTCAAATTTATAGTTGGGGACTATACGGTAGCACAAGTCACATCTTATTTTAGAACTTGCCATTAAAACCTCGAAGGCATTCCGAGGTTTGGAACACTTGGCATAGTGATCACTAAACTCACACATCTTCACAATCATAGCACACAAATCACATGCAATTGTTGACTCCATTTTTTTTGATTTAAACGATGTAGTTTTTAAGTTATTATAATATTTGAAATGTATTTGTATATATATATATATATATATATATATATATTTGTAAAAATTGTTTATAATTTTTAAGCACCGACGAAAATGACAAAGATAAACACAATAAAGCACCGAGACTTTTAATGTAGTTCTGAGGCCTTTGAGTAACTGATTCTGAGCAATTTGAGTGGTGTCATTTATATAGTCTCTAGACTATGTTCACCTAATGTTACCAATAGGGAGTGCATACAGGTATGTTTTACTCCTAGAACCAATCGTATTGGTTTTGAGTATACATAGGAGCCCCGGACGCCAGTCATATGGTATTGAAGGATAAGGAAGACAAGGATGGCGAACAAATTAACGGATGATGATAATGAGGCCTGAGAGTTCAGTGAAAGTAAATATCGGTGTGTGCGGAAGACTGGTCAGGAAAATGACAAGTGTAGTAAATATTCCATTTAATGGTTTCTACGGACAGCGGGATAGTTCGTGCACAATCTCCGTGTAAGAAAGATTTTCCCTTTCTATGTTCACTTGATAAGAACGATGCCCAAGGGTTCCACGAATGTAAATACAGGTGTGTGGGAAGTAACGGTCAGAACACCGTCAATTGCAATAAATATTTTTTTTAAGACTTAAAAGGAATCGGAAACGGTCATGCACAATCGTTATGAAATAAACATTTTACCTTTATATATATATTTACTTGTAACCACGTTGTCAGCACTTGCATTCGATCGTGAAGCAATTAAAAATTTCTGGCCTTAAGCTGAAAGTAGCTAGAACATAGGACATAGGCTGATTATAGTACATCAGTTTTACATTTAGCTGACTTGATTTTAAAATTTTAAATACTTGTATGCACTGATACTCGGTATGTATGTGTCGCCTGAGTCAGGTATTCTATAAGATCCTCCCTCCATTGGTTTTCTGGAAGACGTGACCCTTTGCTATCCCTTGGATGAGTCCACCTGAGAACTCACCCCTACCCTCAAGTGTGCGCTCAGGTCTGCTTGTGCGTGGAGGTGCGAACTCACCCCAACCCTCAAGTGTGTGCTGATATCTGCTTGTGCGCGGAGGTGTAAAAATTTATTGTTAAGCGTTTTAATGAAAAGTTGCAGTTTTTAACTTACAATCGTATAAAGCATACCACTGGAAAGGGCTTGAAAAATGCTTTCCAATGACACCAAACACTTTTTTTTTTTTTTTTTTTTTTAGTGAGGGCCTATATTGAGACCCCCCAATTACCGAAATTTTTGCCTTTTTAGGGTAGTAGTGAGCACTTGGGGAAAACGGAATGAATTACAAACGTAATGTAATGATCTTGGACTCCTATGACCTATACCCGAAAACGGTTTCTCAGCCAAGACCCCAACCAAAGATTTATCCTAGACACTGGCTGGGCGGGCGGCTAATCAGTGGAGGGCCATTTCGCCGAGTGCCATTTTAGCCGAGTGCCAATTCGCCGATGCCCCAAGTGCTCACTACTACCCTAAAAAGGCAAAAATTTCGGTAATTGGGGGTCTCAATATAGGCCCTCACTAAAAAAAAAAAAAAAAAAAAAAAAAGTGTGTTTGGTGTCATTGGAAAGCATTTTTCAAGCCCTTTCCAGTGGTATGCTTTATACGATTGTAAGTTAAAAACTGCAACTTTTCATTAAAACGCTTAACAATAAATTTTTACACCTCCGCGCACAAGCAGATATCAGCACACACTTGAGGGTTGGGGTGAGTTCGCACCTCCACGCACAAGCAGACCTGAGCGCACACTTGAGGGTAGGGGTGAGTTCTCAGGTGGACTCATCCAAGGGATAGCAAAGGGTCACGTCTTCCAGAAAACCAATGGAGGGAGGATCTTATAGAATACCTGACTCAGGCGACACATACATACCGAGTATCAGTGCATACAAGTATTTAAAATTTTAAAATCAAGTCAGCTAAATGTAAAACTGATGTACTATAATCAGCCTATGTCCTATGTTCTAGCTACTGAAGAGGGCCACCTTTAACAATTGATATTTAACATACGAATTGGCCGGTGGACGAGGACGACAACGACGATGATGATGATGACCGCGCCCACTCTGTGTTCTTGTGCCGCCCCATAAAACGGGAGAAAAATAAAAGAAGGAGAACAATTTGGGAATTTCCGAAAAGTGGGAGGAGAAGTAGAAAGGGACAGCTCAGGGAAAAGAAGAGAAAGGATAGGAATTCGGGTTAAGAGTTTTTTGGTGGGAAGAAGAATGCTGGCTACTATAGGTGGCTGTGTAATTAAATCATGTGGAATTAGTTAATAGTACTACCAGCTTTGTTGGGGGATACTTAAGGTGGTAAGGGTTAAGGATTTAGGGTTCTCAGGTTCTTATCAGGGTAATTAAGCGAAGAAGAAGACTAGTTTGAAGATCTTTTAAGGGGAGGTTTAAGTTTATGTTTACAAACTTTAACTTAACTTTAATTACAACCAACATTCATTCTCTAAAACATGTTAATAATCCACCTTTGCCCCCTTAAACTCCAACTATCTTTGGTTTTCCCACCTCTCTAAACATCTCTTAACGTTCAGCAGTCATCAATGCAATCGATCAGGCAATGGGAGAGATCAGGAGATCAGTCAATCTTTCACTGCAATTTCTGCAATTTCTGTTCTCCACCGTTTAGCTCAGATCACGACTTTCGCTCCTTCAACCTGCCAACCACCGAGAATTCGTGGCCTTAAATCAAGATCAAGATCAAGATCGATCGATCAAGCACTTCCTCATTCTAGTGATCTGTAAATTGCCAACCATTAAAGATCTGCTAGATATATATACTATATAGTAGCAAATCAAATAGTTTTCTAACTTAAATTGGTGAATAACATACAGTTTATTGTACAAATTAGATCAATTAAAAGTGAGCAATTAATGTTTTATATAGTATACAGTGTTGATTGGCTTAAATGAATGTAGAATAACAGATGTGTGCATGCGTAGAGTGAAAGCGTTTCCATTATTTATGTTGATTGGGGCAGCTAGTTTCCACTTTCTTAGCTGCCACAATTAACTGCAATTTAAATGGTAGAAAAACATAAATAAACTTTAAAGTTGTTAGCTTGTTTTGGTCAATGGGGCAGCCAAAGTTTACTAACAAATGAGGTGAATAGCGAAAAGTTAGATAAGAAAACTCTCCATTTCTGTGGTGAATAGCAAAGCTAGCAACTCGCATTGAGGTAGTCCCATAATCTATATACATATTACTATATATATATAATATATATCTTCATTTTACTTACAGATCCGATCGCCACGCCCACAGCGCCATTATGTGGAGCCCACAGAAAGGCCCTACACGACTGTGGGACCTTAGGTTTAGTAGCTGTATATTTATCTTACACTTAATGGTAAGTACAGTAAAGCCAAACAAACTTGTCCACAAACACTCCATAAAGAAAAACAAGTGCAGCCTTATCTTATCTGTATAGATGTCGTGGGTCTATAAAACCAATTTGTTTGATAAACAAATGTTATAATAATAGAATGGCTTTCCTTTTAAGGCATTGATATGGCTAGCAAGAAGAAAAGGTGATTTGTTGGGAAATTCAAGTTAGATAAGAAACAAATTTGTAGATCTCTAACTCACAATTCCTATCAAATCTTAGCCTAACCAGGTTAAGAAGTTATTTTACAAACTAAGACCAATAAAACACCGTTTGTTAATAGATCGCAAAATGCATTTAATATTATAAAATTGTGGCTAAAACTAAATACAAAAATACAGTCAAAACCAAGACGCTTAGATGGTCTCGCCCACGGGCTTGATGGTCAGCTCATGGATCTGAACATTGGGCGGGGTCTGGATGCAGTAGCTAATGGCATCGGCCACATCCTCAGAACGGAGCAATGGCAAGTCGGGGAAATGGACAAGGGCGGCCTTGTCGATGATCTCCGTGTCCACAGCACCAGGACTGATGCTCTATAATTGGAAAAAACAAATATTAGTCGAAATCTTAAAAGAAAATCTTCGTCTACTAACCGTTATCTTGGTCTGGGTCTTGCTGTTGAGGAACTCCTGACGCAGCACCTCCGTCAGGCCAGTGATGGCAAACTTTGAGGGCGAGTACATGCCCATGGTGAAGCCAGGAATATAGGGCACTCGATGACCAGCTACACTGTTAACAATCAAGATGTGTCCATCGTTGACATTGCGTTTTTGCAGCGACTTGAAAGCCTCGCGAGTACACCAGGAGACGCCCAGGACATTGGTATCAAGGATGGCACGAAGATCATCAGTGTTGCCCTCCTTGGTGATAGCAACGCCGGTACGAACAATACCGGCATTGTTAACCAGAACATCAGCACCACCCAAGGTGGCATCAATCCAGGCAAAAGTATCGATCACATCCTGCTCCTTGCTGACATCGCACTTGCGTCCATGGAAGCGACTGGCCTGATCCGCTGGCAATGAATCCTTAAGCTCTTTAAGGCGCTCTTCCCGACGAGCAACACCCACTACGATCAGACCTTTGGCTACCAAATCCTTACAACAGGCAGCTCCAATTCCAGAGCTAGCTCCCGTGACGACAGCAACACGATTTAGCCAACGTTCCATTATGTTAATTCAAGTTTAGTAATGGGTTAATATTTCTATAGTATGTGTCCGATCGCGACCTGTTTTAGAACTGCTCTTTCATTGCCTACCCCACTCGCTTTTATAAGGTCATCAAATATCAACAGAAAAAACCGAACAGATCCGAAGTTTTAACGTTCCGAAGTCGGGAGACGACTATTTCACCACACGACCACAACATGGCCGAACCCAAAACATTTACCCGTAGCCGGTATTTTGTGGACTGTAGCGTAATCGTGAGTCTGCATAAAGTTAGCCTAGCCCTCGTCTTTTTGATCAGTTCATTCTAGAATGATAATATATACTGTATACTATATATATGCCATAGGCATATGCCTCTCTGTTGGTTGAGAGTGAGCGAGCGATCGCCGTCGTGAGTGGAACTCATTGTGGCTCAGCACATTTGTTTGGCGGCTTCTGTTTTAGGAACTTATCAAAGCCCACATAGTGTATCTATCATTGAAAAAAGAACAGATTAAATCAATCATTTGATGTTTAAATTGCTTTCATAGACATGACGTTGTTTGTTTTGCTTTCAAAATGGAATTTATAATGGCAAACATATTAGGTTTTGTTAGTTACGTATACGCAGTGTTGTCGGGTTAGCTAAGAACATAATATCGCTTAAAATACTTTGTAGTTTTGTTGTAAATTGATTTGTTTGTTTTGCTTTCAAAATGAATTTTCTAATGGCAAATATGTAAGGTTTTTGATAATTACGTATACGCAATGAAGTCAGGTTAGCTAAGAACATAATTTGTAGTTTTCATGTGTACTTTCATGTATAAATTGCTTTCACAGACCTCACATTCTATGCTTTCGAAATGGATTTTGTCTAATTGCAAACATTTTAAAGTCTTTGATAATTAAGTATACGCAGTGTTGTTCGGTTAGCTAAGAACATAATAACATTTTAAATACAAAAGTTAATAATAAAAACAGCAAAAAGAATATCTTAGTCAATTAACTATAATAGCTGCCTTTCGCTCTAAAGATTATTCATATAATTAGCTGGGAAAAAAGATGATGCAAAACGCTGAGTTAACTCACAATCCGCGCCAACACTTTTAGTTTGTTAGTTTGTTCGTTAGAATAATTGCTAGGAAAATGTGTGTTACATGAAAAATAAATGCAATAATGCTAAATTATTCGTTTGCCTGATCAAGATGTTAAACAATTACAACTTATTTGCATTAACTAATTTATTCAGTTAACTAACTGGAAGATCGGGCTGCTATCCATTCGCTCCTCAATTTCCATTCTCGTCCGTTGAGTGACGACGACGATGCCAGACAATCTGGCACCATCATGGCTCTGATCAGCTACTATATACTTGATTATATATACTATACTATATCCATTTGTTCAGGTGGCTCTAGTCTGGTGAGGCAACTTTTACTGATGAGAGGAAAATGCAAATTCCTTAGCCAGGCAACTCGATCAGACTTCCCCTTTGATTTTGATTTTGCAGCCATAGCTGCTGCTGATCTATGCGGCATGTGGCAAGGCAGTTTGGGGCAGGTATCGGTATGCAAATATGCAAAATGTCAGGTGCAACTACCACCGCCTCTGCCTCTTGGCGTACAGGTACCAGTTAGCCAACCCCTCAAACCAAACCAAAAGATCATTGCCAAACGGATGCAGGCCAAGTGGAATTCGCTTTCCCATTTCGATTGGCCTTCATTGGCCAACGGTTCGGGGTAACGAAGACTGCTGCAGACTTGAGACTGGAGAGACTGGATTGCCGTTTCGTTTTTATTGGTAACACGTTTGTCCAGGTGCCAGGTGGCAGGTGGCAGGTGCCAGTGGAACCGTTAGGAGCCCACCCACAAGGCTGGCCTTTGATTTTTGGGTGGGTTTTTTTTCGGAAAGGAGGAGGAGGAGGAGTCGAAGACCAAATCGTAACTAGTATTAATTTTTGGAACCCCCTAAAAGACGAAATGACTTTTATAGACGCTTCTACTTGATATTATAATGGTTCTTTATTATAATTTCTTTATGGCCTAACACATCGTCAATTTTCTTTAATATATCTAACTAACTTAGTAATTTCCAACTTATTTCATTAACAGTTTAGTTTAGTCATAGCTGGTAATGAACTGTGGCCCATGGAGCGGCCAGATGGTATGCCCAACATCGTTTCCCTGGAGGTGATGTGCGGCAAGGATCATATGGATGTACACCTAACCTTTTCGCACCCATTCGAGGGCATTGTTAGCTCTAAAGGTGGGTTATCTAAGCTCTATTTTATAAAAGAAAACTGTTATATTATAGAAATATTATCCCTATAGGACAACACAGTGATCCGCGCTGCGTTTATGTGCCGCCTTCTACTGGCAAAACGTTTTTCTCCTTCCGCATCTCGTACTCCCGCTGCGGTACTAAGCCGGATCTCAATGGACAGTTCTATGAGAATACGGTAAGTGTTTATCTTTATATTCTATCAGAAGAAAGTCTTTCTAATATGTTTCTTTTTTCTGTCGCTAGGTGGTGGTGCAGTATGACAAGGATCTGCTGGAAGTCTGGGATGAGGCCAAGAGATTGCGCTGCGAGTGGTTTAATGACTACGAGAAGACCGCCTCCAAGCCGCCAATGGTCATTGCTGATCTGGATGTGATACAGCTGGATTTCAGGGGTTAGTTCTAAGACATTCTTTTGATCATTTTAGACCAGATATATATGGAATATTATACTATATATTGTATGTGAAAGAATACTAATTTCTAACGATCTTTCAGGCGACAACGTGGATTGCTGGATGGAGATTCAGCATGGCAAGGGACCTTGGGCGCCACCAGTAAGTGGAATTGTGCCTCTCGGATCAACCTTAACCCTAGTGGTGGCCATTAATGATTACAGAGGTGAGTTAAGATATCATTTTCTTATAAAAAAAGTACCTAAATCCTTTTCCCAATCTCTACCAGGCGAGTTTGATATGCGTGTCAAGTCCTGTGTGGCCTCCGATGGTTCTGGTCATGTTATTAACCTATCCGATGAGTTTGGCTGCGTGCTGCGACCCAAGATGATCTCACGCTTCCTAAAGGCCCGTGCGCCCGACGAGAGGGCCACCGTGATTACCTATGCCTTCTTCCATGCCTTCAAGTTCCCCGATGCCTTGAGTGTCCACATCAAGTGCAAGGTGGAGATCTGTCGTCATGGCTGCTTGGATCATTGTCAGAATACTGGAGTTGGTGGTGGTGGATCTGGTGAATCATTGGGCTTGGGTCTTGGACTGGGATTGACCAATGCCAATGAGCGAAAGGATGTGCATATGTCCGATGCGATGGGCAGTAGCAGTAATGATTTGCTCAGAGATCTGGCACTGCCGCCGGGCGGTCAGCATGGCATGGGCTTGGGAATGGGACCAGATCATGATATCTTCTATGAGGACATTATCCACGATCACAAGCAAACGCTAGGCGGCGGAGGCGGATTGCCAGCTGGTGGGGATTATGGTCATGAAAAGCATTTGCCGCCACGTCCCGTGCACGAGGAACAGGAGGAGGCTGATCTGTCGGATCTGTTTGGCGACGAAGATCTCGCTGACTTGGACATGGAAGGAGGCGAGGGTGAGCGATACTTAGGCCTGAAGAAGAGTGGCAAATTCCCGCATGGTCCACGGCAGCTGGAGGCCCAGAAACGTATGGGTGTGCCAATGGCGGGTCCACGCTCCTTGGAGCCACATGGTCAGGATGATGAGGATGTGCCGCGACCAGTGTATAGGCCACAAGCGGAGGCATTGAAGAAACCACGCGAAGATCACATCGATTTGGATAAGGAAGATGAAAAGGAACAGGAGGAGGATAAGAAGGAGGAGGACCAACTAGACGGAGCAGCCAAAAATGATTCCTCGAAGAGTCGTCGTCGTCGTTCCTTAGTCATTTCCGATCGCAAGGTTCGCAGTGCCGATGTGGGCGTCAGCGGTCTTTACGATGTTATATCCGAGGCGGATTTGGCCTTCTCACCAGACTCAAAACAGGAGGCGGTCACGGTGTTCCAGGGCAAGATCAGTGAGGAAGTGGTCTATGGCATCTGTATGCCAGTTCCTGGCTTTAGCATTCTCTTTATCGTTGTAATCTCGGCAACGATCGTCTCGGCTCTAGTAGCCGGATCACTGTTATATCGCTATCAATTACAAAAGGAGGCGCTGGACAAGCAGACGCCCATGCCTGTTACCGGTACACTGGCCTCCTGGATGACCTTGAGGCTGTTCCGCCTACGACACTTGCAACAGCAGCAGCAGCAGCAGCAACAACAACAGCAGCAGCAGCAAGTAAGGCAGCCAAGTTCAGGACACGAAACAGTCCAGTGAGATTGACCAAGGATCAAGATCAAAATTACAATCGGAAATCGAAATCGATATCGAAATGGAAATGGAAATCGTCCAACCACGTCCAAGCCTTCCATTTATGATTATTATTTATTATGATTATTGTTTTTTTTTTTTTGTATTATTGGGTTGTTTGTTCAGGATCCTGATCCCGATCCCGACAAGGCGATATGGTGCAGATATCAGATATCAGAGATCGGGCAACAATGCAATACTCGAACTGCTCGTTTCGGTGCTGAATGGAAGTGTGTTTTTTTTTGTATTTTTATTTGTTTTCGGGTGCATTTAGTCGTAAAATTGCATAGAAAAAATAATAGAAAAAAAGAAGGGAAAGAAAAGAAAGTAAAAGTAAAGAAAAGAAAACGGTAAGTACACAAAGAAAGAAAGAATAAAAGAAAGAGAGAGAGAGAGATAAACAAATACAATGAAGACTCCGGACAAGGTGCTGCAGGTTTAAGGAGTCGGATGCTATATATCATATATACATCCGCTAGGCATAAGGGAACTTATTTACTTATACATATATAAATATAAATTATACATACGAGATTTAGCTGTAAAGCCGAACTTGATTGCCATGACTCCCAATTGGTTTGCATTCAAATCTGGGACACTTCATTTTTGGGCCTTTTTTGAAAATTTTGATGATGGTACCCCTTATCAAAAATGCGAAATTTGGGTCAAAATTGACTTTCCCAAAATCGAAAAACGAGTGATAGGGGTGGTTAGTGTTGGTCGTTAGCAGCACGAAACAGTCGTTCTTTTGGCTGTGCGTCTTGTTTTGGCCGAGCTAGAGCTGAAAAACCGCAACAAATATTGCATTTTGATTTTTTAGCCATGAAATCAGCCCACGCAGCAGAAGAGCAGTACACCACTGTAAAAAGTGGGTATAGGGGCTTAAAGTGTTGGTTGTGAGCTGCATAAAACAGTCACTGCTTTAGCTGTGCGTCTTGTCTGAGCAAAGTTAGAGCTCAGCAACTGCAACAAAGTCGGGCTCTCTGCTACCAAAAGGCGTATACTTGATTTTGGGCACAAAAATTTCAGTTTTTTAGCTATAGCACAGCCAAAAACGGTCCAAATGAGGAATGTAATACCTCGTAGGGCTCGTAACTTGATTGCCATGACTCCCAATTGGTTTGCATTCAAATCTGGGAAACTTCATTTTTGGGCCATTTTTGAAAATTTTGATGATGGTACCCCTTATCAAAAATGCGAAATTTGTGTCAAAATTGACTTTCCCAAAATCATAAAACGAGTGATAGGGGTAGTAAGTGTTGGTCGTTAGCAGCACGAAACAGTCGTTCTTTTGGCTGTGCGTCTTGTTTTGGCCGAGCTAGAGCTGAAAAACCGCAACAAATATTGCATTTTGATTTTTTAGCCATGAAATCAGCCCACGCAGCAGAAGAGCAGTACACCACTGTAAAAAGTGGGTATAGGGGCTTAAAGTGTTGGTTGTGAGCTGCATAAAACAGTCACTGATTTAGCTGTGCGTCTTGTCTGAGCAAAGTTAGAGCTCAACAACTGCAACAAAGTCGGGCTCTCTGCTACCAAAAGGCGTATACTTGATTTTGGGCACAAAAATTTCAGTTTTTTAGCTATAGCACAGCCAAAAACGGTCCAAATGAGGAATGTAATACCTCGTAGGGCTCGTAACTTGATTGCCATGACTCCCAATTGGTTTGCATTCAAATCTGGGAAACTTCATTTTTGGGCCATTTTTGAAAATTTTGATGATGGTACCCCTTATCAAAAATGCGAAATTTGGGTCAAAATTGACTTTCCCAAAATCGAAAAGCGAGTGTCAGGGTGGTTAGTGTTGGTCGTTAGCAGCACGAAACAGTCGTTCTTTTGGCTGTGCGTCTTGTTTTGGCCGAGCTAGAGCTGAAAAACCGCAACAAATATTGCATTTTGATTTTTTAGCCATGAAATCAGCCCACGCAGCAGAAGAGCAGTACACCACTGTAAAAAGTGGGTATAGGGGCTTAAAGTGTTGGTTGTGAGCTGCATAAAACAGTCACTGCTTTAGCTGTGCGTCTTGTCTGAGCAAAGTTAGAGCTCAGCAACTGCAACAAAGTCGGGCTCTCTGCTACCAAAAGGCGTATACTTGATTTTGGGCACAAAAATTTCAGTTTTTTAGCTATAGCACAGCCAAAAACGGTCCAAATGAGGAATGTAATACCTCGTAGGGCTCGTAACTTGATTGCCATGACTCCCAATTGGTTTGCATTCAAATCTGGGAAACTTCATTTTTGGGCCATTTTTGAAAATTTTGATGATGGTACCCCTTATCAAAAATGCGAAATTTGGGTCAAAATTGACTTTCCCAAAATCGAAAAGCGAGTGTCAGGGTGGTTAGTGTTGGTCGTTAGCAGCACGAAACAGTCGTTCTTTTGGCTGTGCGTCTTGTTTTGGCCGAGCTAGAGCTGAAAAACCGCAACAAATATTGCATTTTGATTTTTTAGCCATGAAATCAGCCCACGCAGCAGAAGAGCAGTACACCACTGTAAAAAGTGGGTATAGGGGCTTAAAGTGTTGGTTGTGAGCTGCATAAAACAGTCACTGCTTTAGCTGTGCGTCTTGTCTGAGCAAAGTTAGAGCTCAGCAACTGCAACAAAGTCGGGCTCTCTGCTACCAAAAGGCGTATACTTGATTTTGGGCACAAAAATTTCAGTTTTTTAGCTATAGCACAGCCAAAAACGGTCCAAATGAGGAATGTAATACCTCGTAGGGCTCGTAACTTGATTGCCATGACTCCCAATTGGTTTGCATTCAAATCTGGGAAACTTCATTTTTGGGCCATTTTTGAAAATTTTGATGATGGTACCCCTTATCAAAAATGCGAAATTTGGGTCAAAATTGACTTTCCCAAAATCGAAAAACGAGTGATAGGGGTGGTTAGTGTTGGTCGTTAGCAGCACGAAACAGTCGTTCTTTTGGCTGTGCGTCTTGTTTTGGCCGAGCTAGAGCTGAAAAACCGCAACAAATATTGCATTTTGATTTTTTAGCCATGAAATCAGCCCACGCAGCAGAAGAGCAGTACACCACTGTAAAAAGTGGGTATAGGGGCTTAAAGTGTTGGTTGTGAGCTGCATAAAACAGTCACTGCTTTAGCTGTGCGTCTTGTCTGAGCAAAGTTAGAGCTCAGCAACTGCAACAAAGTCGGGCTCTCTGCTACCAAAAGGCGTATACTTGATTTTGGGCACAAAAATTTCAGTTTTTTAGCTATAGCACAGCCAAAAACGGTCCAAATGAGGAATGTAATACCTCGTAGGGCTCGTAACTTGATTGCCATGACTCCCAATTGGTTTGCATTCAAATCTGGGAAACTTCATTTTTGGGCCATTTTTGAAAATTTTGATGATGGTACCCCTTATCAAAAATGCGAAATTTGGGTCAAAATTGACTTTCCCAAAATCGAAAAGCGAGTGTCAGGGTGGTTAGTGTTGGTCGTTAGCAGCACGAAACAGTCGTTCTTTTGGCTGTGCGTCTTGTTTTGGCCGAGCTAGAGCTGAAAAACCGCAACAAATATTGCATTTTGATTTTTTAGCCATGAAATCAGCCCACGCAGCAGAAGAGCAGTACACCACTGTAAAAAGTGGGTATAGGGGCTTAAAGTGTTGGTTGTGAGCTGCATAAAACAGTCACTGCTTTAGCTGTGCGTCTTGTCTGAGCAAAGTTAGAGCTCAGCAACTGCAACAAAGTCGGGCTCTCTGCTACCAAAAGGCGTATACTTGATTTTGGGCACAAAAATTTCAGTTTTTTAGCTATAGCACAGCCAAAAACGGTCCAAATGAGGAATGTAATACCTCGTAGGGCTCGTAACTTGATTGCCATGACTCCCAATTGGTTTGCATTCAAATCTGGGAAACTTCATTTTTGGGCCATTTTTGAAAATTTTGATGATGGTACCCCTTATCAAAAATGCGAAATTTGGGTCAAAATTGACTTTCCCAAAATCGAAAAGCGAGTGTCAGGGTGGTTAGTGTTGGTCGTTAGCAGCACGAAACAGTCGTTCTTTTGGCTGTGCGTCTTGTTTTGGCCGAGCTAGAGCTGAAAAACCGCAACAAATATTGCATTTTGATTTTTTAGCCATGAAATCAGCCCACGCAGCAGAAGAGCAGTACACCACTGTAAAAAGTGGGTATAGGGGCTTAAAGTGTTGGTTGTGAGCTGCATAAAACAGTCACTGCTTTAGCTGTGCGTCTTGTCTGAGCAAAGTTAGAGCTCAGCAACTGCAACAAAGTCGGGCTCTCTGCTACCAAAAGGCGTATACTTGATTTTGGGCACAAAAATTTCAGTTTTTTAGCTATAGCACAGCCAAAAACGGTCCAAATGAGGAATGTAATACCTCGTAGGGCTCGTAACTTGATTGCCATGACTCCCAATTGGTTTGCATTCAAATCTGGGAAACTTCATTTTTGGGCCATTTTTGAAAATTTTGATGATGGTACCCCTTATCAAAAATGCGAAATTTGGGTCAAAATTGACTTTCCCAAAATCGAAAAGCGAGTGTCAGGGTGGTTAGTGTTGGTCGTTAGCAGCACGAAACAGTCGTTCTTTTGGCTGTGCGTCTTGTTTTGGCCGAGCTAGAGCTGAAAAACCGCAACAAATATTGCATTTTGATTTTTTAGCCATGAAATCAGCCCACGCAGCAGAAGAGCAGTACACCACTGTAAAAAGTGGGTATAGGGGCTTAAAGTGTTGGTTGTGAGCTGCATAAAACAGTCACTGCTTTAGCTGTGCGTCTTGTCTGAGCAAAGTTAGAGCTCAGCAACTGCAACAAAGTCGGGCTCTCTGCTACCAAAAGGCGTATACTTGATTTTGGGCACAAAAATTTCAGTTTTTTAGCTATAGCACAGCCAAAAACGGTCCAAATGAGGAATGTAATACCTCGTAGGGCTCGTAACTTGATTGCCATGACTCCCAATTGGTTTGCATTCAAATCTGGGAAACTTCATTTTTGGGCCATTTTTGAAAATTTTGATGATGGTACCCCTTATCAAAAATGCGAAATTTGGGTCAAAATTGACTTTCCCAAAATCGAAAAGCGAGTGTCAGGGTGGTTAGTGTTGGTCGTTAGCAGCACGAAACAGTCGTTCTTTTGGCTGTGCGTCTTGTTTTGGCCGAGCTAGAGCTGAAAAACCGCAACAAATATTGCATTTTGATTTTTTAGCCATGAAATCAGCCCACGCAGCAGAAGAGCAGTACACCACTGTAAAAAGTGGGTATAGGGGCTTAAAGTGTTGGTTGTGAGCTGCATAAAACAGTCACTGCTTTAGCTGTGCGTCTTGTCTGAGCAAAGTTAGAGCTCAACAACTGCAACAAAGTCGGGCTCTCTGCTACCAAAAGGCGTATACTTGATTTTGGGCACAAAAATTTCAGTTTTTTAGCTATAGCACAGCCAAAAACGGTCCAAATGAGGAATGTAATACCTCGTAGGGCTCGTAACTTGATTGCCATGACTCCCAATTGGTTTGCATTCAAATCTGGGAAACTTCATTTTTGGGCCATTTTTGAAAATTTTGATGATGGTACCCCTTATCAAAAATGCGAAATTTGG